ACACAAACCCCAGAGCATCCCTGACACAAACCCCAGAGAATTCCCGACACAAACCCCAGGAACATTCACAGGAATATTCACAGGAACATTCACAGGAACATTCACAGGAACATTGTCTGGGTAGAGGGGGCACTGCCAGGGCTCTGTCCCTCCTTTTGTCACCCGTGCCCATCTCCCAGGTCATTGCTCCTCGGTGTGTCATGACCACAGGTTCCCCTTTCCAAGGCTGTAAACATCCAATAAACATCCAATAAACATCCAATAAACCATCAGGGTCTCCCTGGGGACTGGCTGGCAGCTCTGTGCTCCCTGTCACAGCCACACTGAGCGGTTCCACATTCACAGCAAGCCACACAAGCCCTGTCCCGAGTCCCTTTTCCTTCAGGGAATGTCCTTGGCAGGGAGGAGCAGGGCTGGGACGCTCTAAGACAGCATTAGAGACCAGGAGGCTTCAGCTGGGACTGGCCCAGGCTCTGGTCTGGTGAGGTTTCACCAGTGCTGACACAAAAAGTGTTACAGGCAGTGCTCTGATGTGAGGTGTGAGCCCTGTTCTGTCATTTGTCCATCATGGAACAGCCCCACGATGTGCCAAGAGTGTTCCCAGCCTCCAGCAAACCCCAGGAATGAGAAGGAGCTCGCACAGCCCCCCTTACACAGCCACAGACAAACTGGCCCAAAGTGGCTCACTGTCCTTGATCCAAACACAAATTATCACCCTCGTGTTGAAACGCATCAGCTCCTGGCTCTGCATTGCTGCAGAGGCTCCTGTTTGTCCTTCCTTGGCAGCTCATCCTGGAGCCCCCCGGGTACCCCAGCCCGGCCCAGGGAAGGTGAGGCTGGGATGTTCTGCACCCTTGCTCTCAATGGGGCATTGAAGCCCATCAGGAAGGGATAAGGGCAGGCATTTCCTCTGGGCTGGGTGCCCGGCAGGCAGAGAATTCCCAAGGCTCCTTCAGAGAGTGGGGCCAGGGCTGCTCTGAGAGCACAGAAGGCTCTTGCCAAGCCCCCTCTGCAGCCCTGATCAAACACTTTGGGGCACCTCCTTTGTGCTGGGAGATGAAACCACTCCTCTCATGAATCTGGGTGCCCAGTGCCAAGTTTAGACACAGTCTAGACGCAGCAGGGTATTTATAACCTTGGCACATGGCGTGGCAGCCAGTGGGGTATAAACAACATTCAAAAACCATGAGGCACAAAGTTATTTATACATCAAAGTGCTGAGTGCAGGTACCACAGCCCCCAGGGCAGGTGAGATCTAACCCTGAGCTCCACTGCCCCATCCCACTGGCAACTTCCACTATTCAAGAATAAATTTGCTTTTACCTATTGCCACGAGAAATTAAAACGAGTGAGGAGCAGTTGAATGGCTCAGCCATTACCTGGGATGTAGGCAATCTCCATTCTATCCCAGCAGCAAAAACATCCATATTCAGCAGGTAAAATTCACAATGAAGCTCTGCTGACAGCAGCTCTCTCCCAAGGGTAAGAACTGACTAATCCATGGCAGTCACACAAGTCAGGATCTCTGCTGCCTCTCCAATACAGGAGAACATGAATGCAGCTGCCCAGGCAGGAGGGAGCAAGGCATCCCTGAACAGCCAATCTCTGCATCTCCTTGCAATTAACTCAGTTTTATGCAGCAGAGGTGCAGCCCACTGTTCTGCAAGGTTTGGGTGACATTGTCCTGAGCTGACAATGCAGATAAAGATCTGGTTGAGAATACAGAAGAATTACAGAATGATTTGTTCCAAAATATTGGCCTGTTTGTGGTAAAACTGATCTCCTTGATCTCTTGGACTGAAATGGGATGGAAAGACAGATTTGTTTTTTTCCCTGGGAGCTGGAGCTCTCAGCCAGCTCTGGCTTCCTTGTGGAAACCATCCACGGAGGAGGATCACAAGATGATTTTATTTCCATCTTGGCCTCGGTACAGGAATCAGGTAAAGGCTTTAGGAGCTCACCCTTGTCACCAGGCAGAGGCTCTCTGGGGTGTTATCAGCCTGGCTAAGTCGTGTCTGGTGGCCACTGATGTCCCCAGGGACAGCCCTGAGCCAGCCTGGGGGGACAGGCAGAGGGATGGGACCAGTCCCTGATCACAGGGTGAAGGAAGTTTCCATGTCAGAGCTCCCTTCAGGGCAAGGAGTGTCACATCCAGAGCCGGGACACTGCTCTTCCCTCTCCCCCCCTGTGTTGCCACACAGATTTGGTTTTGGGTTTCTGCCTCTGGGAGGGGAGAACCGGTTCTGCAGGGTCACGGTGGGGGAGCAGCAGGGGAAGAGTGAGCCTGGGCTCGTGTGGCAATAAATTCCCATCCTTTGTGTCCTTTGTGTGACTTACATGGCATGAAACACCTCAACCTTCCACCCGGAAAGAAACTTTCACAGACATAATTGCCTTTAATGATGGCTTGCAGAAACCCTCTGCTTTCTCCTGGGAATCCCACGCACTGGGCAAAGCTCAGCCCTGAGCACAGAGCTGTCACTGTCACTGTCACTCTGAGATGGATTACCCCAGCAGAAAGTCCCTGCCCAAATATTAGCTCATCCTAGAAGTCAGGGAGAGGTCAAGGAGTCGAGTCCTGCAGAGCAGTCACTGGGACAGTGTCCCTTGTCCCCAGCAGCTCTTGAAGGATGCCAGGGCTGTGCTTCCAGGTTTCTAAAGCCTTTCCTGCACTGGGTCTGGCCTGGGAGGGACAGGGGAAGGCAGCACAGCCCAGGGATTTACAGACCCTGGAAACTCCTGGGGCAGGTGAGGTGACTGCCAGCAGCCAGGGATGGTTTGCCAGCTCAGCCTCTCCCCGGGCCCATCTGAGCTGGCAGAATTTATATCAGCCATTTATTTGGACTGGGACAGAAAGAAACGAGCAGCACAGGAGCCAGGCTGAGGAACCCTGCACAGGATGGGGGTAGCACAAGGGTCCTGTCTCTGGTTTTTAATCTGTGTATTCTGCTGGACCAAGGCTTCCCTCACAGACCAGAGGGCTCTTGGCAATTTCTGCTGCAAACCCCATCACTGCTGAGCTGATTTCTCCCTGTTTGGTGTGCAGACACTGCCCTGGCCCCGTGATAAGGGGATCATTGTGGAGCAGTTATAAATAGCAATCAGACACGGGCCACTGGGTCTGAGTTACTCACAGCAAATGTGTCAGCCAAAGTTCTTCCATCAGGAAACTGCATTTCCCACCCTTTGTCTGTCTCACACCCTCCTCCCTTCCTAGAGGTATCTGAGGTATTAACTCCTCTTTGTCCAGCCTGGCAAGGACAGGGAGATGCAGACACTCACTTTGGTGGGGACATCGTTCACTGGGGCCCTCTCCTGTCCTGACACCGAGTTTTGGGAAGTGCATTCTGGCAGAACAGGGACGTGCCCCTGTGACAATAATTAGTGTAATTTCAGCAATAAAGAAGCTGCAGTCAGGTTGTGGCAGTGAGTCAGAGCAGACAGAATAAGGGATGGAAAGTCACAGCACTGAGCTGCTCAGGACAAAGTGCCCAGGTCTGAGCAGAGATTGCACTGAGGACAGGGCAGTGATGTGTTGGGTGGCCCTTGGTCACAGCCCATGGCAACCTCAGCTGGGGACACAAAACTGAGGCTGGGCCGTTCTTAGGTGGCAGTGAAGAGGCTGGCAGGGTAAGGATGCTGACAGCTGAGATCGCAGAGAAATTAATGTTGCACAATTGTCTTTTATAGAGAGCCAGGGGCAGGTGGAAGGGAGGGCAGGGTTGTTTTTCCCTGGAGTATCTATACTGGCTGTTCTCAGAAGGCACTGAGCAGAAGACTCAATTACACAAGTTCCTAATATAGCAAGTTATATGATCATGGGCTATGTTTTAAAAAATTTTGAGTCACCCATTTGTCCACTACTAATGGTAAAGGTCTTTACTCTGTGGAAACTCTTCCTATTAGAGATTGAACTGACTCAAGGGAACATTTATTTTGGGAGACTGTCCTTTAAAAAGAAAACAGGGTGAAAAAAAAAAAATCAGCTCTGAGCACTATTCACGTTTATTCACGTCTTAAGCTTCCTGTGCAGACAGAGCAAGGCAGAAAGGAGGCAACACCCAAAGCCAGAGGCACCCTGTGGTGGTGAAGAGAGCTCTGGGCTGGAATTCAAGAGCCTGTGGCTCAGTTCCCAACTCTGCCCTGGCCTTTTGCTGCCATTCAGGGAATCAATTCACTGCTCTGTGCCTCGGTTTCCCTGCTCTGTAA